AAGACAAAGAAGAAAGGATTCTGAAGAATGGAAGTGGAACCAAGGTAAACGGGCTGCCATCTTGCTAGACATGCTGCCATTCTGCATATTTGAATTTTGAAATCTAGGCCAAAACGTGGTTTTTAATTTAATTTTTTTTGTTTGTTACTTGGTGTAACGGTATCCTTCGACTGTAACTGTACAAATCCAGTTTCCTCTATGCACTTGCTCATTTGATTTCACTTGTGGTAGGTTGATAAGCTGAAAATGATAGCTGTATATGATATTACTCATCATTCGTTTTTCTTTTCTTTCTTTTATTACTTTTTTCTTTCTTTTTTTTGTAATGCATATATTTTACTTAAATTTAAATATTCTTCATATAAAAACTTGCAAATAATCGTGATATAAATCTTCCGTATTTGATTAGATTTTTATGGTTACGTATAAGGAAATTTTTTCTTGTTTTTTTAAGAGGCATGCAGGAATAAAATTAGTGGAAAGAAAGCATATTTCGATAAAAAAAGATTTAATAGATATTTTATTTCTTCTTATATAACTTCGTTTTTAAAATGGATGTTTCAAAATCATTTGAAAAATTTTCAAAATTATTACAATTTCTGTGTTTATTTTGCAAAATTAATACATGCAATGCTCATAAATTTGCACTTTTACGCGTTTGCTTTTATTATTTATTTACGTTATGTTTTTTTGTTTTTGTTTTTTTAAGTTCTTACAGCGCTAGTGTAGACGTAACTTTAGCTGAAGCTACGTCTACACAGGCACATGAAAGGTTTTAGCACAGTACATCAAACCGGTTTTTGCGTTCTTCTAAAAAGAAATCAACGCAATCGCTTTCGTTTGCAGAATTACCACTCGGCGTTCTGTCGTTTTTTGGCTGGTTTTGAAAGGAGTCTAAAGAAACTGGAAAATCTCTCATAAGGGGTGATTACTATTTTTTAATTCAAATTGAGAACAGACAAATGTTTGGCCATAGGTTTCAGATTTGTCCTTGGTTTAAAGTTCTAAAGTTTAAAGTCCTTAGTTTATGACTTGAGGTTCGAATCCTCTGGCGGCATTGTTGAGTTACTGCTTCAGAAACGAGGAGACTTGATAGTTATTGTGACAATGTATTATAAAACTGTATTATGTATTATGTGGGAGTTGAATACATAATACAAAATAAAAATAAAAATAATACATAATACAAAACTGTATTATGTATTATTTATGTATTATGTGGGAGTTGAATTTTCTCCCTTATAATACATAAATATGAAGCACTCCAGAAGGCACTGTCCTCCCTCTGAACCTGTCGGAGGGCTTTTCATAGTATATATGAAACCCACTGTTCCACTGAAAAGGGTTTGAAGAAAAAAAATAAATGCATTCAGTTCGTATTCGACAAATGTCATCAAAACATACCTAGGTATACACTGGATATCAAGGCGTTAAATCTGTAAGCTGGAAAACTTCTTCATAAAAATATATATTTAAAGGAATATTTGGGCAACGTGAACCTCCGTATGCCACTGGGATTATTCATTTCCACTACAGGTTCACAGAAATAGCGTTTTACATTATAACATTATGAACAATAGCTTAATTGACTGAAGCGATAAGCATGAATACGTTTAAGCGTTGTTTAATTCCTCCATTTGATAGTGCATTAAGAATAGAAAACTTCACTCAGGAAAAATTTATCAGATTATGTAAAATATAAAAATAAATGTAAAATATAATTGAAACTATTTAAATACTTAGGTTTGTTAAGAATTAAAATATAACAATATTTCTGTAATGACCAAACAGTAGTTTTTTTTTTTTTTATTAATGTATGATATTAAAAGCTTAATGTGGCTTCTTTTTTTTCAAATTGCTTAATATGTTTTTTGCTAAATTCATTTTATATATAATTGTAATTAAATTTTATTTGTGACGTTTTCATTATTATAAAATCGATGGTTCGAATCATTGTAATTCGTTACAAAAATTGTTTTAGATAATATTTGTGAGAAGTCTTAGAAAAACGTTCCATTTTTTTAATTGCAAAAATAACTAAAATCATAATTATTATTTTATTACAACGTTTTCAACTAATTGTTATTATGAACTAAAGGGAAAATATAATTTCAATAAAAGACGGCATAAACTATCCATTTAAAAACAAAACGTGTTTTCCATTCTCATTACAGGATATTTAACTTACAAAGCTTCAAGCTTCAGTAGTTTTTACAGATCATCGGAGTTCTAAAGTTAAATATCGGTCAACGAAGCCAAAAGAATTCCAGGAACCAAAATGAAAAGTGAGAAACTCGACAATTAAGATCCGTTCGTGAATATATCAATTACAGTAATGAGATACACGGACAAAAAGGTTTTATCCTTTAGCTTACTTAGAAAAAAGTATCAACCACGCAGAAGTTTGTTTATTTATTAGGTCAAGCTGTCAAAATCTGTAACACCATTTGCTACCGTGTGCAGGTCAAATATAGAGTTGTCCTTGTCGTATTTAAGTAGATTAACCCCTATTGTTTAAGCTGTTGTTTTTCCTTTCCTGTCAAAGTGTCCGAATCGATAAATTCCGCAAATGAACTGACCGTCTGGCAACATATTTTCCGCGAAATAAATCCTCTTGTAGTTTCTGCGTAAATAATTGAAACCTTAACCTTAACTGCAGAGTTATTTCAAATTGGTGCTTTTTGCTCTGTGTTATCAGTGACGTAGTCGAACATTTTTGCAAAGAGGCCATTTTTTAAAAAATTACTTTATTTGAACAGTCGTACATCGTTTTTTTTTCCTCCTATTTTGAAAGTTTATTTTAAATGTTTATTTTCTTAAAGTTATAATCGCAAGGCAATACAAAAATGGGAAAAATACAAAATAAAGAAGAAAATGCACACAAAAGAGTTCAACAAAATTGACCGAAGTCATTGCCTTAACAGTTCTCTAACTTGTCAGTATCACGCAGTCTGGGATTCGCTATGGAGTGCCCAGCAACGGAGATGAGCTCAGTTCATTAGTTCTGCCAAATCACAAAGAATGCAGTTTGGTTCGTCAAATATCCCAATGCGATGCAGAAGTTCATTAGATCAGTTCTTTTTCAATTCCTTCTATTAACTCACACTCTCCCTATATATATCTTGTTCAAATTTTCAATCTTTTATAAAATACTTTTTATTCATCCACTCAAGTTCAAATACATTTTTTTTTTTGAACTCGTAGTGGATGACACTTGATGTTAATACATTTTCAAGTATCAATACATTAATTAAATTTAATTAATTAATTTTAGTTTTTTTTATTAGATTTAAGTTGCGTATATCTACCAATATAGATGGTGCCAGATAAACTTAAAAAAATGAATGAAAATTATTTATATAGGACTTTTTGCAATATAGTGGAAAAAAAAGTAGGAATTGACTTTAATTTTTTTTTTATATTACTTGTTTATTGAGATAAGTCACCAGCATTCCATTGCAATACATGCAAGCCAACCGGACGACGGTTAGGATAGCAGCAAGTGCTCATGCCGAAAACTATAGACCACTTAGCCGTATGGAACGTTGCCCAGGGTGCACCACTAGGAGGTTGGTCTACATTGCCCCTCCCCTATTTTGAAATTATTCTATGTATATTCCAGGCATATTAAAAAAAGAAACAGAGAAACAAATCTTGCAATATTGTTGCGTTTATAAATATGCTTTAAGTTTTAGTTGTGCTTTTGTTTTTTTATATAAAGGACTTGTGGTCAGTAGTAGTGTGTGTTTAATAGCGTGCTAGAGCTTAGGGGATCAATTGACATTAAGATATGTGTAGTAGGTATACGTGTGTAGTAAGGTTATAGTATGTGTAGTAAGTATACATGTGGTACCCGATTAGTTTGAAAGTCGAATAGGCTTAGTTAAGTGGCATCGACTACGACTCTCTAATTGGAGCTTATATTTTCTTCAATGTGATTTTTAAATTCAAAACAGTTCTCTCTTAAAGTCTACACATCTTCTTCTTGTAGGTGCGCGACCTGATGGCCAATTGGTTAGCACTCTGGTGGTTTGTACCACAGGCTTCAGCTTTGAATCCTGGCTGTGGTATGAATGGTTGTTAGTGGTTCGGAATCCAATTTAAACTGTAGTCTCGGTCTAATTCGCCTAACGTGTGTACAAGATGACCGTAGAGCGACAAACCAAATAAAATCTCCCACCTGGCCCTAAAGTATATCCTATAAAGTGCAAATAGGTTCAACCGAGATATGAACTCAGATCGAAACACATTCGATTACATTACAAGTCGAAAGTGCTAACCATTACACCATGGAACCACGAAGACACATCTAGCGACTTAATAAAAAAGGTCATTAATTGAACCGAGCAAGCAGTTCAAACATAATGCGTTAATCTGTCTAGGGCATGTTTCAATCCTGGGACCTTATATTTTTCTATTCTTTACATATCAAAATTGTCAACTATAAAATTTAATAGTTATGTTTACCGGCAGATAATAGTATTTCATCTAAGTATAAATCAAACTATTGTTTCCTCCATCTCCTTTTGAGCTTTCACTATAGCACACCATGATCTATGTCTTGTCTTCACGATATGCGATAGCCATCAGATCGAAATTCCAGACATATTCATCCATTCATATCGCAGCTCATTCTTTTCCGAGAGTTCATCAGATACACACAGTGAAGAACGTAAATCTGTATCTCGGCGCTTAACCGAGGCGAGGCGAGGATTTGCAACTGTTTGACCGTATCCATCTCTGATAAGAGCCGATTATTAATTGCGCCCTACTGGCAGCCACCATTGAAACGGCACTTTTTCTTCTTCAAATTCGCATCTCTTTGTGTTCTAATCTCCGCTATGTTATGGTTCTGTAATATGGTTGCAGACGGTTGGTCTTTTCTTTGTTTCCACCTCTCGATGCGAAGATTGGAATCGCTGTCATACAAGGATAGTTTGACCTCGCAGTAGGTGAAGGCTGTTGGCATGTAGTATGTTTGCGTGGTGGACTGAAGAAGAATTATAAATGAAATAATCTTTAACGACTGCATCTGCTTCTTTTAGCTGTTGATAACATCTAATAATTGTCATCTGGATTCAAGGTATTTCCAGCTATATTTCATAATTTAAACATTACATTGAAACAAAAAGAGAAAAGCTAGTAAATACTTAGTGCATTTTAGGTAAAAGATCCTAAATGATTTGTTCTAACAAATGTGGTTCGTCATAAGACAAATGAGATAAATAAGGAAAAAAAAAAGAATTAATTAAAGAATTAATCACAGAATTTACTTGGGGATCTGATGGCCGAGTGACTAGCGCTCTGTGCCACAGGTTTTGGGTTCAAGTCTACCTCAGTTCAACCCTACCTCGTAAAAAGAAATCATCTCATGTTTCGAAATCTATCTACTGGCAGATGGCCTTGGCACACCTTGGGGCTGTTCGACCAATGAAGGAGAATTTACTTTTAACTGTTTAATCGTAATGTCTTGATAATTAGAATATGCATTCAAGGTTAAGCTATGGATTTTTTCATAATGTTAGTCTTTAATAGTTTATTATTAGTAGTATTTGTAATAAAAAAAGTAATATTTTTAGTAGAAAAAATAATAAACAATTATTAATTTTATAATATACTATTTAATAATCATAGAAAAGTTATACTTTTTATATCTGTGATAGCAGTATAAAAGTTTCTTCTTCATTGGCGCAACAGTCCCATGGTGGGCCGAGACCCTCTGCCTACTAGCAGATTTCGAGACAGTAGATGTTTTCTTTTTATGGGGTAGGGTTGTCCGCCCAACGCCCTACTGTCATATTAGACAGAGACCTATTGTTTAAAGTGCATTCCGAACCACTACAAACATCCACGGCACCGTTAGGACTCAAGCCCGAAACCTGTGGCACTGAATGCCAGTGCGCTATTTACATGGCTAGCAGACCCCAAATAAAAGTTTATTTCTATTCAAATTTTTGTTATTTATTTTACAATTTTACCTCCAAAAGAGAATTTTATCAAAATTCTCATTTGAATCAACTTGAACTTTATTAAAAATTAACTAAACTAAAGAATTAATTAAACCTTATGTAGAAATGTGATGACAGCCATATGACGTCAGCCATGTTGAAATATTGAACATAGCTACCGTTAGTCACGCACAAAATAGACCAGCAATAGTCCTAATTTTATTATATACACGTTAACATGGCTGCGTGTATGTTTGCCGTAATTTCAATCGTGATGCTTAACTTTAAACCGCTGATGTTAGCCACTGGACAAGCTTACGATACACACATGTTTTAACATACCACACAAAAAAATTGGTCTTTTTATAGGATCAAATCTTTTTGATTAAATGTTAAATTGCATGAATAAAATGTAAGAATGAAACTTTGCATACAAATAACAATTAATATGTTGTTGTTACATTCACACGCAAAGCAACTTTGCTGCCTTGTTTATTTCAGGTTTAATGTGAATGTCAAATTTATTATCATGCAGCGAGGCATTGTAAATAATTTATGCAGTTAGATAACAAATTACGCAATTTATACGAATAAAAGTTACAATTCTATTCAAAAATTATTACGCAAGGAAAGGTCATATGTCTCTTAATAATAAACATGTATATACGATAAATTAATTATGATATTTTGGTTCATTTAGTTTCAGTGCCATTTAATAATTGTATCTTTTATTTATACTTCTGATCAATTAATACGTATTGATCAGAAAAATACGTATTCCGTATACGTATTTTAATTATACGTATTTGGAACTGTAACCTGGACGATAAACAAAGGATTTATGGCCTTGTTTTAAGTTTGTATTGTTTGCTTTGTTTGTTGTCAAAAATTATCCATCCATAAACTTTATTGAAAAAAAAAGAACTTTTTGGTACTATTGAAAAAAAATATATATGAAAATTAATTTTATAACACATTTGTAATATTTTATTTCTTATTACTTAGTTAAACGATTTTTTTTTTATATTAATTGTTGTCAGAACTTATCTATCCGTAAACGTTATTGAAAACTTTTATTGAGTTATTACGTTATTGAACTTTTCCGTGCTACTGAAAAAAAAATGTATGAAAATTAATTTTCGAAAACATTTATAATATTTCATTTCGTTTAATAAAAAATTATAAATGTAATTATTAAAATATTTTATTTTTTATAACTTATTTACTGGATTTTTTTTTTTTTTTTTATCTTTTCATTATTGTCAGAAATTTTCTATCCGAATACATTATTGAAAAAAACACATTTTGATGCTTCTGAAAACAAAAATATGAAAATTAATTATCTAAAACATTTATATTTTATTTCTTATAAATAATTATAAGATATAAAATATTAAAAATGTTTTATTATAATATTTCATTTCTTAAAACTCATTTAAAGGATTTTTTTTGATATTTTCAGTGTTGTCAAAAATTATCTATCCGTATGCATTATCGAAAAAAATAACTTTTTGTTGCTACTAAGAACAAAAATATGGAAATTAATTTTTTAAACCATTTATAAGAAATAAAATATTAAAAATATTTTGTTATTATATTTTATTTTTTATATCTTATTTAAAGGATTTTTTTTTTTATTGTTATCAGAAATTATCTATCCGTGTACATTATTGAAAACAAAACATTTTTTTGGTGCTACTGAAAACAAAAATATGAAAATTAATTTTCAAAAATATTTTATTTCTCTTTCTTTAGACACATTTTTATATCCCAACTTCAATGCATGATCATATTTAAAAAATCAATTCCTTGTATAGCATTTTTTTTTCTGCGAGTAATAAACAGTTTAAATTTCCTCTTATTTTAAAAGCGTATTACAAAATAATTCTACTCATTTCCTTAATTTTTTCAAAAGCCAAATTCATCTTTAAATACTTATTAAATACTTCCTGAAATACATTAAACGGTGTAATATATTTTATTTTTTCTGCGATGACAAATTAAGAGTCAGATTTTAATACCATGTCAGATTAAAGGCTGAGACAAACCAGTCTTACTTGAAGACGCGAAAGCTTTTTCCAACTTTCCCACACAAAGGCAAAGATAATTTCAGGCTAGGAAAGGGTATCCATTCTTCCGCTACTCATGCTCCAGTTTGCATGATTTTAGAGAAGGCTTTCTCTCTTTTCTGTAATTCCCCCTCCACTTGAAGCTATAATGTATTCTGATGTCACCTTGCCGTTCTAAACGATCCGTTTCCGTTTTATGGATCTCATCTTTTTTTAATAATTCTGCTTTTCAAAAAATTTGTTTACAGGTAACGATGCTGCTGGAAGTTTAAATACCAGAGTCATCACAAAAATATAGATTTTTTTAATACATCGAGATCGTTTGTATACCACGAAAAGTCCATCAAGCAATTGTGAACGTGATATAACTTCCGAAAGGATTTTCAGGGGTTTCCATGCATTTGGTTCTTGTATAAAAGAGAGCCATTGAAATTTCGGATAATTGCTATACCGGTGCGGTATACATGCTATCACAATCATCGTCTTAAAAGCAGTGGCTACAATGCATGTCAAATTAGATGACAGTAGTGATTTAATCCATTTTTATAGTACAAATATTATTTTTGTAGCTGCTCCTCAAATTAGATGACAATAATCCATTTTTTCATATTTTTGTAGTACATGTAGCTGCATACATTACATTGGGCCTCTCAAATTAGATGACAGTAGTGATTGAATCCATTTTATATATTTTTTGTAGTACTTCCATTATTTTTATAGTACATATATTATTTTTGTAGCTGCATGCATTACATTGCGCCTCTCAAATTACATTGAATCCAGTTTTATATTTTTTTGTAATACATACATTATTTTTTTAGTACATATACTATTTTTGTAGCTTCATACAATACATTAGCCTCCTTAAAATTAGATGGCAGTAGTGATTGAATCCATTTGTTTTATTTTTTGTAGTACTTCCATTATTTTTATAGTACATATATTGTTTTTGTAGCTGCATACATTACATTGCGCTTCTCAAATTACATTGAATCCAGTTTTATATTTTTATAATACATACATTATTTTTTGTAGTACATATATTAGAGAGTTTTTGCATACCGTACGTTAGTTACCGTAGGACGTCCGTTAGCTTTTTCTCCCTAGCGCGCATGCTCATAGGAAACTGATCATGCGCGCTGGGGAGAAAAAGCTAACGGACATCCTGCGGTAACTAACGTACGGTATGCAAAAACTCTCTATTATTTTTGTATCTGCGCATATTACATTGCGACCCTCAAAATAGAGAACTGCAGTGCTTGAATCTATTTTTATGTTTT